CAGGAAGAATAGATAACATTTTCTTATAATTTTCACAATAATCTGCTTGATTTCCACTTCACTATTATAAAAGAAAGGTAATGGAACATGATAAATTATAGCTATTGCCCTTACATGCTTTCTTACAAAAGTAAAAGATTCACAATTAGTGGAATGGGAAAACAGTAATAGAAATTAGGCTCAAAATTTATTCATAATGTAAAACATAATCAAGGGATTCATAAAATGACAGAATGTCAACATAGTATTGTCTTTATCAGAACAGAATAATTACTACATACAGAAAGACAGATATTTTCACTGATGTTCTCATTACGGAGTATTACATATACATCCATCTCAAGCCTGTATTGTCTAAAATAAATAAAATCTTATAAACTACTGCACTTACACCACTATAGCCTGAAATATCGTCAAAGTACCGGAACCACTGTCCTTGATCAGTTTTAAATTCATCAAATTCATCTAAGATCTCTTCGCCTCTCTTTCGGAACTTTACTTTACGTTCCTTCAGGATCAAATTATGCTGGACTTTCTTAAATCGTATTTTAAGGTGATTGTCTTCCTTTGACTGATAATACGGGAATGCTTCATAGATCAATAAACCATCTTCTACCCTCGCCTGAAAATAAAGCACATTAAAATACCCATGATGATCATATATTGTACCTTGATACACGCCTTTGTAGACCGGACCCGTTTACTATATTTATGACAACTAGTGATGAAATTTTATTCATACCATAAAATATTACAGCTTAAATAGCCTGTTGGCGGCAACTGAATCTACCCATGTGACCAGTGCAGACCAAGATGATAAATGATTAAGTCCATACTGCCCATGTAACCAGTGCAGATCAATGTTAACTGGCACATTATGATAAATGATTAAGTCCATATTGCCCATGTGACCAGTGCAGATCAAGGTTAACTGGCACATTATGATAAATGATTAAGTCCATATTGCCCATGTGACCAGTGCAGATCAACTTAAGCTGGCATATCATGATAAATGATTTAGTCCATATTGCCCATGTGACCAGTGCAGATCAATTTAAGCTGGCATATCATGATAAATGATTAAGTCCATATTGCCCATGTAACCAGTGCAGATCAATGTTAACTGGCACATTATGATAAATGATTTAGTCCATATTGCCCATGTGACCAGTGCAGATCAAGGTTAACTGGCACATTATGATAAATGATTAAGTCCATATTGCCCATGTGACCAGTGCAGATCAAGGTTAACTGGCACATTATGATAAATGATTAAGTCCATATTGCCCATGTGACCAGTGCAGATCAAGGTTAAATGGCACATTATGATAAATGAGTAAGTCCATATTGCCCATGTGACCAGTGCAGATCAAGGTTAACTGGCACATTATGACAAATGATTAAGTCCATATTGCCCATGTGACCAGTGCAGATCAACTTAAGCTGGCATATCATGATAAATGATTTAGTCCATATTGCCCATGTGACCAGTGCAGATCAAGGTTAACTGGCACATTATGATAAATGATTAAGTCCATATCACCCATGTGACCAGTGCAGATCAACTTAAGCTGGCATATCATGATAAATGGTTTAGTCCATATTGCCAGATGAACAGGTCCATTTAAGAGCATGGTAAGGAACTTCTTAAATGAACTTGAATGTTGTGAATCCCTCTTTTATGTCATTAATGACAACATTGGTTTTTTGGGGTTTTTTTTGTTGTTGTTGTTGGGTTTTACATTGCACCAACACTGTAGAGATCATATGGCCATTTTCTAGCTAAACTCGTAGAGGAAGACCCTCCGTACACTATTTAAGGCATGAGGGGGTGCCTCAGTAGAACCACTGATGTTCCATCTGCTAGCTGGCTAGCTTCCTCACATAAAAGAATACAAAGTCCTGGCAGGATTTAAATCTACAGCAATGAGAGACAAGTGGTTTGAAGTCAACAACCTTAACCACTTGCCCACTGATGCCCCTAATAATGTTGTTTACAAATCATGCTTCTCTACATACATGGACTGATAACTACACAACCAACAATTATTCTCTAAAATAAAATACATTTATCATCTTACCAGCAGGTATGGTCTAGATTTCCGCTGTCCTAATCCAACAAGTAACACCTCATGTATATTATACATGCTGTCAGTAACTGTCTTGTCTTGACTCAACCCAGACCTGAAAGTAGATACACATAATATTATATAATTATGTGCATTATAACTTTCATAAAAAAATTCATAAAATTTCATACAACAACTGAGAATATTTTATATATCCGACATACACAGCTGCTGCTAAATTTTAGTTTTAAACAAAGATTATTGTTTTTATTTATGTTGCCTAGTAACTTTATAATTATATATAATTTATAAAAAATGTTATCGAATAAGATGAAATCTCACCCAGATTTGCTGGCACTTATTTCTTTTAAACTTCCTGTGTCAACCAATACTTTCTGGCCAATAGGGAATGTCTTCACATAGTATGCTATCTTAAAGTCTGGTAAACTCAATATCTGAAATATTTTATTATTTGTGATGACTTCTTGTGAATAAAAAAATACTTTGTCAAGGTGTTAAAATTTCTATAACTATTTTTACTGAGATATAAACTGATGATACTATAAAGACATAACAATCTTTAACTCAAAATACATAACAATCTTCTACACAAAAGACATAACAGTCTCTTCCACAAAAGACATAACAATCTTTTACACAAAAGACATAACAGTCTCTTCCACAAAAGACATAACAATCTTTTACACAAAAGACATAACAGTCTCTTTCACAAAAGACATAACAATCTTTTACACAAAAGACATAACAGTCTATTCCACAAAAGACATAACAATCTTTTACACAAAAGACATAACAGTCTCTTCCACAAAAGACATAACAATCTTTTACACAAAAGACATAAGTCTCTTCCACAAAAGACATAACAATCTTTTACACAAAAGACATAACAGTCTCTTCCACAAAAGACATAACAATCTTTTAAACAAAAGACATAACAATCTTCTACACAAAAGACATAACAGTCTCTTCCACAAAAGACATAACAATCTTCTACACAAAAGACATAACAGTCTCTTCCACAAAAGACATAACAATCTTTTACTCAAAATACATAACAATCTTCTACACAAAAGACATAACAGTCTCTTCCACAAAGACATGTATAACAATCTTTTACACAAAAGACATAACAGTCTCTTCCACAAAAGACATAACAATCTTTTACACAAAAGACATAACAGTCTCTTCCACAAAAGACATAACAATCTTTTAAACAAAAGACATAACAGTCTCTTCCACAAAAGACATAACAGTCTCTTGAGAGGTGTCATCTAGATTTTGACAAAGTCATGTACATTATCATTTTTCACTGGATATATAATTTTTTATTCATATTTAATTTTATGTATTGTTTGCCATATTTTAATTCAAATGAATGGAGAATTGTTTGTTTGTTTGGATTCATTTTAATCTGGAAAAAAATGCTTAGGAAAAGAAAAGTAAACTGCCTAGGAAAAGAAACTGTCATGAAATATTGATTTCAAGTTTGTTTATACATGGCTGATCCTATCATACTTAATTTAAAATCCTATCTCGTTACTATTTTAACAATACATACTTCTAAAGATCCATTTTCTCGTGCAACAGCTACCCAATATGACATCTTCAATTCCTTCTTCCGAGACTTTTTGCTATCATATAAAATAAACAATCAATATTTTAAGCAACTTTAACCAAAAAGATATAACCTGTGGCACCAAAATATAACAAGGGTAGTCTGCTCATGTGTGTACTAGGACTAGTTTTTATACTGCCAGCTTCTCAATAATTTGAAATCCTTTATACCTCAAATGGACTGTTCCAAATTCCGTATAAGGACAAGTCCATTTCACAAATTTAGCAGGGTCAGGTTTAAAGTTATTCAAGATTTTATACCAAGTGATAATATAGCTATATATGTAGATATACTTGGCAGTGAACCATACTCCATTGTTTTAAATTCAGTCCTGAGAGTCTCAAGATTCTATCTGAAAACATTACCAATAATTTTTGTCCTTTAAAATTTATGTAACAAAGATTTGTTATCAATTTTGTATAATCACTGAATGCATTATTTATAATTTAAGATTTAGTTTATACAAAATTTGTTTTAGTTTGATTGTGTAGTAAGCTCTCAGCCTATAGACAAACTATTGAACCAACCAGTACTAACTTGCTGAATGAATGAAAAGTTCCTTTCTCAAAAACACAACTGCTTACACTTATCAGTAGACTATTACATTTACTATTGGATAATTCCAAATTCAAAGTATAATATTATAGTACTTAAAGTAGTAAACATTACCTAGATTTTGTTTCCTCTTTCATACTGATATTAGCAGATGTATCCATGTTGGACGTTTCTTCATCTCCATATAATAATTCATCCTCATCATCAACAGTACTGGAAATATATATAAATACAGTTAAACCTGTGAACAGAGGCCAACAAAGGGAGAGACAAATAGACAAGTGGTCTGTATTTGGAGGTTACTTTATTCAATTATACCAATGAATAGTAACTGTTTTTCTTTAACACAGGTTTGTCTGTACATATAGTTTAAAACAGAAAAGATTTTGCAACAGAGTTACAAACTATCTCCTCTGTCATTTGTAGGTCAATGATCGCTTGCAAATATCTAGTTTCTAAGTCACAGTTTGGGAAACAAACATTATTTCACTCTAAATGAGACTAACAAATTGAACATATATCAAGTTGTTTTTTTTATAACATGGGGCTTTAAACATTTATTGTTTATACATTAAGAGGTTAATCGCAGATACACTTGAAACGTTCAATGGTGTCATTTTTCATTATGTGGTTAAATATTGATTACGTTTGTAAAGACAATGAAGTTAAAATCATGAAATTAAGTTCATTTTCTGTTTGTAGCAACTGTCAGTAGAGATATGGCAGGGAAAGAGGTAACAACATGTCAGACTATTGGGTCTGCAAAGATAATTAACTGTACACCATGCTCTGAAGCAGAGAGGACAACTATGGCCATCAAATATTGTGTTGACTGTACAACATATGTATGTCAGAACTGTTTAAATGACCACAACAAGTTTGCAGCATTACGTAAACATCAGATTGTGAAGATCACAGAAGTTAATGAGCTGCCAGGTGACACAGATCAAGTCCAGGGAAAAAAATCAGTGGAATGTGGAAGTCATTATGGACAATACGTTGACAGATATTGCAAAGACCATGATGAAGTGTGTTGCAGTGTTTGCGTGACAATTAAACACAGGTTTGTTAATTTTCTCTGTTTGATAAATATTATGATTAAGACAAACACAGATTTTAAATATTACATAAACAACAGGGCATAACCCTTGAAGAGCACCGCAAAGATGGGGCAATATACGCAAAGGTGGGGCAATATACAACCAAATGTAAATTTGTTTGATGATCAAAAAATAATGAGACCCAATCATTTCTGAAAATGTTTTATCTTAATTATCCTTATGATACTTATGATTTATACACTTGGTGCATGATTCATAAATGTTTATAGAGGTCTACTAGTCAAAGCTTTATGCCAAATATACATGTTCAGGCATAAAATTTATCCACAAATAGATGTGTTTTAATATACTTTCCTCTATATTATAAAAACAAGTGGCTCCCAGGGCAAGGCAAATTCTGACCTGAGGGTCATGATCAACATAACTTTTGTAGGAATCTACAAATTGATGCTACATGTCCTGGGCACACAATAAGTCTCAGATGTTCTTCTGATACATATTAATGAAGCGAAATTTTTAAATTCATACAAAATCACTAAATGTGACCTTGATCTTGACCTGAGAAAAGTAAAACCTGTGTTCTGCATAAACTCTCATTATGTTTAACAAAGTCAGTGTACAGACACAAAATCTTTTAACAGACAGACTGAACGATGGACAGACTTTTCAAAAATCCACAGTGCAGTGTTTTCATGGTTGCATTGTCAATATTTGTACAAATCATTGTTCACTTTGTTTAGGGAAAACTTTTTCCCTGGTTCAACAGCTTAGATCATTGGATGCCTTCAACAATACTTTACAGAACTACATTGATTGATTTTAAAAAAGACCATAATAAGTGAAATAAAAAACAAAAATATAATCAATACTTAAAGTTAGGCATTTAGAGCAGCCTTTCACACTATCTCAGAAATGCCATTCGCTCTTTTTCAGTTCATCACAATTTTGAAGTGGAGCGTTAAGTATGCTGTGTATATAATTATATACCCTTTGCAAACAGCAGTTATTCCTAATACAAGAAACACAAACAGAGGCAAAACCTGACTTTTTTACTATCGAGCAAAACATACCCAGAAGGTCTTTTAAAGGTCAAGGTCATATTTTGCATATCTTAATTTGAAAGTTTGGTCCTTAATTGGGTCCAATGAAACATATTCAAATAAATGTCATATCATTTTTTTTCCTTATGGGCTCTGGATAATTTACGGTCACAGTCATAATTTTGTCACATCACATGAAGGTTTTGTCCAAAGTATTGTTATTCAAATTCATTCAATACTAACAAAAATTAGGCCAATTCTATGAAAACTAGAACTGCCACTATAATGGCGTGAATACCCCCGCATACCACTTTGTCAGAATCAACAGTGGCCATTTAGAGCTCAAGGACAACCTCCCTGCCAAATCTGAGGTTACTAAGCCAGTGCATTGCTAAGTTATGTATTCTACATGCTTCAAATGTGAAAATGTCAAAATCAATACATAGCGGACAGGACTCTTCTTTAGCAATTGAGAAGAAAAGCTTCTTTTTTTTGTCAAGGTCCCTGTGACCTTGACCTTTGACCCAGTGACCTCAAAATCAATAGGGGTCACCTTGTAGTCATGATCAACATCCATGCCAAATATAAAGACTGTGGGTCAAAGGAATCTTAAGGGGTGGACAAACTTTTTGAAGTCAAAGTCCCTATGACCTTGACCTTTGATCCAGTGACCTCAAAATCAAAAGGGGTCATCTACTAATTATGATCAACATCCATGCCAAATATGAAGACTGTGGGTCAAAGTAATCTAAAGTTATTGGGCAGACAAACTTTTTAAAGTCAAAGTCCCTGTGACCTTGACCTTTGACCTGGTGACCTCAAAATCAATAGGGGTCATCTACTAATCATGACTAACCTCCATGCCAAATATAAAGACTGTGGGTCAAAGGAATCTTAAGTTATTGGGCGGACAAGCTTTTTGAAGTCAAGGCCCCTGTGACCTTGACCTTTGACCTGGTGACCTCAAAATCAATAGGGGTCATCTACTAATCATGACTTACCTCCATGCCAAATATAAAGACTGTGGGTCAAAGGAATCTTAAGTTATAGGGCGGACAAGCTTTTTGAAGTCAAGGCCCCTGTCACCTTGACACGGTGACCTCAAAGTCAATAGGGATCATCTACTAATCATGACTAACCTCCATGCCAAATATGAAGACTGTGGGTCAAAGGAATCTTAAGTTATTGAGCGGACAAGCTTTTTGAAGTCAAGGCCCCTGTGACCTTGACCTTTGACCTGGTGACCTCAAAGTCAATAGGGGTCATCTACTTCTCATGACTAGCCTCCATGCCAAATATGAAGACTTTGGGTCAAAGGAATCTTAAGTTATTGGGCGGACAAGCTTTTTGAAGTCAAGGCCCCTGTGACCTTGACCTTTGACCTGGTGACCTCAAAATCAATAGGGTCATGTACTAATCATGACTTACCTCCATGCCAAATATGAAGACTGTGGGTCAAAGGAATCTTAAGTTATTGGGCGGACAAGCTTTTTGAAGTCAAGGCCCCTGTGACCTTGACCTTTGACCTAGTGACCTCAAAATCAATAGGGGTCATCTACTAATCATGACTAACCTCCATGCCAAATATGAAGACTGTAGGTCAAAGGAATCTTAAGTTATTGGGCGGACAAGCTTTTTGAAGTCAAGGCCCCTGTGACCTTGACATTTGACCTAGTGACCTCAAAATCAATAGGGGTCATCTACTTATCATGACTAACCTTCATGCCAAATATGACGACTGTAGGTCAAAGGAATCTTAAGTTATTGGGCGGACAAGCTTTTTGTAGTCAAGGCCCCTGTGACCTTGACCTTTGACCTAGTGACCTCAAAATCAATAGGGGTCATCTACTAATCATGACTAACCTCCATGCCAAATATGAAGACTAAAGGTCAAAGGAATCTTAAGTTATTGGGCGGACAAGAAAAAACCGACGGACGGACGGCCAGACGGACGGACAGCCGGACGGACAAGCTGATTCCAGTATACCCCCCTTACAACTTTGTTGTGCGGGGGTATAATAACATTTTGTCCAGATTTTTATCAAATCAGACACATCTGTAGAAATGTGTCCATAGAATATGGTTGCCCCCACACTATTTTGAAAATCTACTCACTCTAGGTAAAATATTTTTGGGCTACACACAACACAAGCAGGGATCATTCTTGGGTGCAGATTTGAAGTGAAAGATCTCATTTAACAAATTTCTTCGAAATTTTCGTGATTTTTATTGGAGAAATTGTGGGTGGCCATTTCCACAATTTCTCCAATAAAAATCAAAAAAATTTCGAAGAAATTAGTTAAATGAGATCTTTCACTTCAAATCAGTGTGTCATTAGATTCTGGTATATTTAAAAGTACTTACTGTAAGTTCAGTGTTTTTTAGCCGAGTAATGGGTTTGTTCCCCTTTCTCAGATTCTTGCCAGTAGTCTAACAATTTTTCAGAAAAGGCTTTTACCCATTCACTCATTTATAGACAGAAAAATTGCTAAAGTAATTGTTAAGTTATATAACTTGACAGAGTCATGGCTTTTTGTAATTGTGTAAAAATAGATGGCAAGTCATTGCTATGACTTGTGAAGAGGTGAAAAATATTCAACATACCCTACTTTTATCAAATGTATATAAATGAAAGACCTTGACCTTGAGCCCAGTGACCCCAATCTTAACTTAAAGGACCGCCTTAGATATGTTCCTTGTAAAAATGAGACCTTGGCAAAATAATAGGAAGGCTGAATAATAATAATAATAATAATAAAATAGAAATCCATTTTTAGCACCTCAAAATCGTTAATTAAGGGTCATCTAATGGTCATGATCAACCTCCATGCCAATTATGAAGACTGTGGGTTAAAGTATTCTTAAGTTAATGGGCAGACAAGCTTTTCTAGTTAAGGCCCCTGTAACCTTGACCTTTGACCCATTGACCTCAAAATCAATAGGGGTCATCTACTAATCATGACTAACCTCCATGCCAAATATTAAGACTGTGGGTCGTAAGAGTTTTAAGTTATTGAGCAGACAAGCTTTTATTTCATCAAGGCCCCTGTAACCATGACCTTTAACCCAATGACCTCAAAATCAAAAGGGGTCATTTTCTAATTATGACTAACCTCCATGCCAAATATGAGGACTTTGGGTCAGAGGTATCTAAAGTTAATGGATGGACAAGCTTTTTTTTTAGTCAAGGCCCCTGTGACCTTTGACCCAGTAACCTTAAAATCAATAGAGGTCATCTACTAATCATGACTAACCTCAATGACAAATAGAAAGACTGTGAGTCAAAGGAATCTTAAGTTAAAGGGCAGGAAAGCTTATTTTAAGTCAAGGCCCCTATGACTTTGACCTTTGCCACAGTAACCTTAAAAATCAATAGAGGTTATCTACTAATCATGTCTTACCTCATTGCCAAATATGAAGACTGTGGGCCAAAGGAATCTTAAATTAGTGGGCGTACAAGAAAAACAGACGGACGGCCGGATGGGCTCAAGATGATTTGAGTATACCCTCTTACAACTTTGTTGTGCAGGGGTGAAATAATTAAAGGGCCACAACTCTTGACAAAATTCATTCAACAGGAAAAAATCTGACAATATGCACAAATTTTACATGAAATTCCACCAGTTGTTTTTGAGTACCCACTGACTGACAGACAGACGGATGGACTTGTTAGGGCCTCTATTGTTATTGAAAAAACTTTGTTCTTTTTACAGTAAGATAGCACCCTATCCCTATTTGGTAGTGCAGACTGACACTGACAGACAAACAAACTAACATTTGGCTATACTTTTGTTCTCCCTGTTGCTCTTTTAGCCACAAAAACTTAAGACCTTACAGAACAAGAGCCGGTTGAACCGGGTGATGCTCCCCGAATAGGTTTTGGACACAGGAAGGTATACCTCTTGTAGTGTCAGAGTTATGTCACAGACAAAGTTCAAAGTGTAAAAACAACCCAAATGTTGTGCACGACACATTGTCTCAATATGGTGATCATTTCTGTGAAATAGTTGTAAAATCAGACTTCAAATAATGAAGTTATGGGCAGGACACGATTTTGCTGCAAGGTCATGATGTGACCTTGACCTTCAAGGTAGCGACCCAATTATCGCATTTGACACGTCAATTCAACATGGTGGTCATTTCTGTGAAATAGTTTTAAAATCTGACTCAAAATAACAAAGTTTTTGGCCGGACACGATTTTGCTACAAGGTCATGCTGTGACCTTGACCTTCAAGGTAGCAATTTGCGCGCGACACATCGTCTCAATATGGTGATCATTTCTGTGAAATAGTTTTAAAATCCAACTTCAAATAACAAAGTTATGGGCCGGACACAAATTCGGGACGTACGTACGGACGGACTGACAGACGGACAGACAACCCGACTACTATATGCTCCCCCGAAATGTTTCGGGGAGCATAATAAAATAAATGACATTGACCTTTTGTACAGTTGTCTATTAATTCACAAAATATGTAATTTTACCTGTGAGGTGAAATAATGTAAAGGTCAAGTCAAGTTTGATCTACATGTACTTATATGTGTTTACAAAAAGGTTGTTGTGCCCAAGTTGAAGAACAGAACCAAGAGCCCAGTTTGAGCCGGGTGATGCTCCCTAAATAGGTTTTGGACACAGGAAAGTACATCTCTTGTAGTTTCAGAATTATGTCCCTGGAAAAAGTTGCAATAAGTCCAAAATTAGCCAAGGCAGAGTAACTTTTCTTTGCACTGCACTTTTAATCAATGCAATCTAGCAACCTTCAAAGTTTCATCTTGATACCTCTTATGGTTTCTGAGACAAAGTTCAAAATGTAAAAATGAACAAAGGGCAATAAGTACAAAATTTGGCAAGGGGGAGTTCAACTTCTTGAGCAGTGCACATCTACCCATTGAGAGCTATCTACCTACAAGGTTTCATGTTGATATCTTTTATAGTTTTAGAGTAATTTCCCAGACAATGTTTTTTTTTATAAGGGGAGATAATTAAAAAATTAGGCAAAACAGAGTTATGTTTTTTTGTACTGCACTTTTACTCAATGAGATCTATCTACCAACAAAGTTTCATGTTGATATCTCTTATAATTATAGAGTAATATCCCAGACAAAGTTCAAAAAGTAAAAATAAAGGGCAATTATTCCTAAATTAGACAAGGCAGAGTTATGATTCTTGTGCACTGCATATCTACCCATAGAGATATATCTACCTACAAAGTTTCATGTTGATATCTTTTATAGTTTTACTGCTATGTCCTGGACAAGATTATTCTTAAAGGGGAGGTAATTCAAAAATGAGGCTTAAGAGAGTTATGTTTTTTTTGCACTGTACTTTTACTAAATGAGATATATCTACCTACAATGTTTCATGTTGATATCTCTTGCAGTTTTAGAGTTCTGTCCCAGACAAAGTTTAAATTGTTAAAATTTACAAAGGGCAATAACTCCAAAATTAGGCAAAAAAAGTAATGGTTCTTGTGCACTTCACATCTACCCATCGAGATCTATTTACCTACAAAGTTTCATGTTGATATCTCTTATAGTTTAAAAGTTATATCCCAGACAAGATTTTTCTAAAAGAGGAGATAATTCAAAAACCAGGCAAAATAGAGTCATGGTTCTATGACACTGCACTCCCCCTCAATGCCCTCTACCACAGCATGAAGTTTAAACAAATTATCTCCAAGGGTTTCAAGTTATACTCCGGACAAGACAACGGACGGACAGACTGATAGACGTTCTAACAGGAGAGTAATAATGTGGCTACTTTATTGTTCTCTCTATTGTTCTTTAGAAAATAGCCACATAAAAGCATTACAGAATGAATGAAATCAAAGAGACAGAACAGTTACCTATTGTCCCTCTAGCCACATAATTACTGTCCTGTGAGTGCGGACAGATGGACAAGGTGGCATTTATATGCTCTCCCTTCGGGGAGCATAAAAATCTGTCAATGACCTTAACCATTGTCACGGTCACAGAGCCAGCATGAATCCAGTTTAAAACTGCATGCCTCCAGTTGAGCCAAAATGTTTCAAGAAAATCAAACTTACTTGATTTTTAAGAAGAGTAAAATAATTCAAGATTCAAGTAATCATTCACATGTTATGTGCCATTAATGACTGATTTTGCAGGATTTATAACAATATTTCTACAAAGTTACTAACACAGTAGGGGCTATTTTTGCAATACATTGTATTGACCGTTTGTGGTAACTTACATGGACTGTTAGTGTTGTTTGCAATTTGTAAATAACTGTCTTTGTTCACATCAATATATTTTACTTTGAAATGCATTTTACAAAATTTTCATGAAAATTAGCATGAAACTGGAGGCATGTTGCTTTTACTATTTTATGCAAAAAGAGCAAAAAATTTTTAGGGTATACGAATGATATATTCATGAAATACACAAAAAAGCTTACGACAAATTTTTATCGTAAGAGAAATCTTACAAAAATTTCCTTTTCACAAAATATCTTAAGAAAATCTTAAGTGCAAAATCTGTCGTAACTTTACGATAGGTGTTCGGAGTTCGTATATGTAATTTTTTTCTCTTAAGAGAAAATATCATGTATATTTTATCTAAACAGAATAAAAATAAACAAAAATGGAAGGGCAAATATATAGTAAGCAAACAGTATGTTATAAATAACTATTTTTCAACATAAACATTTGTGACGACATAACTTGATGACGCCATGGTTGAGAGGGTTATGAATAGTTTAAATGTATATTAGTATTATTATTATATAAATAGTTATAAACTATATATATAATTATTGAAAACTAATAATGTGTACAATTTTGTGAGTTTGATTTCATTCCACGCATGTACTAATGGCACCTTTTTATTTATTTATACCTTAGCAATAACGTAGCAGACTGTTTATAAATCACTGAGGCCCATATATTTTTATTTGAAATCAAGAAAGAAATTATATCAGTTTGACTCATTTTTTCTTCTTATTGTAACTTGATTGTATTCAATACATATTTCAAGCTCTTTATTACTTGATTTTAAAACCGGAATCAAATATATACCATGCACATCAATATCAAATGAACATTGTTAGGGATGTTTTTATTGTCAGATTTATCGTAAGTGAATTTTTTATCTTAAGATAAAATTTTAACCTACGAATGGCTTTATGAAAATGACTTAAGAATTAACTTATGATTATCGTAAGTCAAAAACTTAAGATTAATTGTAAGATTTTTTGTGAAAATGTCTGCAGATAATCAGTAAGACTATAATATACTACTTTATCACATTATATAGGTTATGCAAAGAAATAACTGGAATAGGAACAGTTGCTGAGGGAATTAAAGAAAGTCAAGAATTTTGCAATCTAAAATCTTCCTTGGAGAAGCTGAGAAAATCTGCTACACAGGAAAAAATATATCGAAATCAAAACTTAAAAGATATGATAGAGGAAAAGAAGCACATCTTGGGTAATATTGATGCATATGAATTGTGGTTAATACAAAAGATAAGAGTTCTAGGTAATTCATCGAGAAAAAATATCATAGCAGCTCATGCAAAACAAGAAGATGCAGTCAAGGCTGATATTAAAGAACTAGACTTGGTTATATCAGGTTTGAAAAAGAGCTTAAATCACATTAACAGAGATGGCATGAATGAAGTGGAGACTTTCATATCAAAGAAGAACTACCAGGCAACTTTGGAAGAGTTGCAGAAAATTGTGACAGATCTTTCTGGCAATTGGCTGCAGACTTCTCTTTTTTACAAGTTCATTGATGATGTCATACCTCAAGAAATCACAGCATTTGGGGAAGTTGTTGAAGAAACAAAGGAAAGTCCTGAATTTTGTCTACAACTCAAGCAATCTGTTTCTAGTAAATGCAGAAGTGACAGGAACAAGTGTAGTATTAATGAAATATGTCAACTGCCTGACAGTACTGTGGTAATAACAGATGCCAATAATTCTAAGCTTAAACGACTGAGAGATAATTTGGAGGTGAAAGATTATATTGATTTAAATGATACCCCAGAATGTATGTGTGTAACAAAACCACATGAGGTTGCCATGATTGTACTAGGGAGAAAAAACCTGGTTCAGTTTGTAAACATTGATGAAAACATGACTTTAGAGTCATCATTCACTATAGAAGAAGGAAAATGCACCAAGATTGATTCTGACCCTACAGAAAATTTACTGTATTTTTGTTGTGAAATGAAAACCTCCAGATTAAGGTGCAATCATAGATATTGTGTAATTGTCTACAATAAAAAAGGTCAATATTTATCAATATGTAAAAATGTGGAATTTGCAAGTCAAAAATTTTGTGAGCCATTGAAGATACTTATCAGTTTAGATACTTTTGATGTAATTGCTTCAGATACTAAAATATATAAATTTAGTAAGACAAGTATGAAACAAAAGGCAACCAATAAATGCTTTGGGTGTAATGATGCAAGATACTCGTGTCTATGTATGTTGTCTGCAGGGAGGATCATATTTGCAGAGACGGCAATATTTGGATTAAGGTCTTTGAAATTATTACATGAGACACAGCTAAAAACACTTCAATTAGAAGAAATATTTCCTGTGCAAGCATTACTTTTCGACAAGCAGAATTCTACACTTATTGTTGCAGGAGAGTCATGTCAGATCAAAGAATACCGAATGGACTCAAGGATACTATATCTTCTAAAAGAATAAACAAAAATAGGTACTGAAAAGATGCAAAAACATTGTAAGAAATCCCAGACATTTGCATTCAGACAAAAACATAATATGGTAAAATCTCTGTCAAACACTTTACAGACATGCATTCACCAGGCTATAGTGGTTGTTTCATTGTATCAGTGCAAAACATGAATTATACAATTTTGTTACAAAATATAGTATTACATGTATGTTATTTTTATGATGCCACTATATCATATATAATATTTTGAGATCTATTTAATAAAAAAAATCTATAGTATGTTTTTTCAAGTATTGTATACACTAGCCTATTAATGATTTAAACAAGATTGCATTTGAGAAAAATGCTATGCCACCGCATAAATATAACACTAAATAGTAGTGTAGGAACAGATTTTTTTTGTTTCTATACAATTGAAGATTGTCATAATGCATAGATCCCTGACCTATCTAATTCTTATTATCAGATTAGTGATTAAATCTATTGTTAATCCAATAAAAGATCAGAGTAGGAATATATCAATGCACTTGAGTCTAGTGACTTTAGTGGTGAAGGTCATATTTCACACAGCCAAAATTTCATGACTACATCAAGAGACAACACAGTCAGACATTTTGTCAAAATCTAGGTTAGCTGATATCAAAGTTCACTTTACATCTTAATCTGTGCATTTCATAGCTATACATCAAAGGACAAGTACGTCACATCATCAAAATCTAGGTCACCTGATATCAAAGTTCAATTCTACAACTAAAACCATGGGCCTTATGCACATGGTCAAAATTTCATTGCTGTACATCAAAGGACAAGAAAGTAGGTCACTGTCCCCTTGGACAAGGCAAAATTTTAACACAAGGGTTTAATTCAAAACAATCTTGATACAGGTCCAGCAAACAACATTTCAAATCAAATATCTAAGCTGTAGCTTTCCCCCATTCAGAAAACATTTGTTTTATTTTCTGTTTATACTATGTGTACATAATGAGAATCACTGCCCCCTGGCAGGGCCAATTTTGACACCAGGGAAAAAAATTTGAACAGCTTTGGTAGAGGACCTATAGATGATATTATAATGCAAACATCAAAGCTCTATGCCTTGTACCTTCAGACAAAAAAATTTTTTTTTTATGTGCATAATGAAAATCAATGACCCCCGGGGCGGAACCAATTTTAACCCCAGGGCTATAAATTGAACAATCTTGGTAGAGGTTCACTTCACAATGTTTCATGCAAAATATCTTAACTCTAGCCTTTGTAAATTTAGAGAAGATAATTATTTAAGTTTTTACTATATACATATAAGGAAAACCTATGGCCCCCGGGGTTGGGCTAATTTTGACACTAGAGGCAAAATTTGAACAACTTTGGTAGAGTACCTATAAATGATATCATTTAACAAATATTAAAGCTCTAAGCCTTGTACCTTCAGACAATAAGATTTTTTTGATTTTTTACTGTATGTATATATTGAAAATCTATGACCCCCGGGGCGGGGGCAATTTTGACCCAAGGGCTATAATTTGAACAGTCTTGCTAGAGGTTCACTACACAATGTTTCATGCAAAATATCTAACCTCTAGCATCTGTCAATTGCTAGAAGAATTTTTTTTTAAAGTTTTTACTATATACATATAAGGAAAACCAATGACCCCTGGGGCGGGGCCGATTTTGACCCCAGGGCTATAATTTGAACAATCTTGGTAGAGGTCTACCAGACAATGCCTTATGCAAAATATCTAAGCTCTAAGCCTTTTGGGTCTTTACAAGAAGATTTTTTAAATTTATTCTTATAATTCCTTTTGGTTGCCATGGCAACCAGATTTCTGCATGGAATGAAATTCTTTGAACAACTTTGGAAGCCCTTCACCCAAGGATCAATCCTGCCAAGTTTGGTTGTAATTGGACTGGTGGTTTTTCACAAGAAGATTTTTTAAGTTCACTTTATAATCTATATAACACACAAACACACACACATACACACAGGTGAATCGCTATATGCCATGCTGCTGTGGCATAAAATCAAATGAAAACTTTGCCTCATGAAAGGTAACAATTTAATGACAAAATTTCTTGCTGTTGCTGTTTATCAGTAAATTACAAAAGCCGTTACTGGAGAAAAGGGGGATAACTAAAAAGGCTTATACAAGGGATGATCAAAAATAAACCGAACTGTGGCTGTCAGTTGAACAATTTTCAACCTATCAATCATTGTTATATATCACAATTAATTGGAAAGCAAAATCTATAAACTGATACCATATATATTTTGATAACAAAAATAACAACCATTGTAACACATACCCGGCGCAGTGCGTAAATTTGCGCTAATGGCAGGCATTTTATAATCCATATATTTTACAATATGGCATATTTAGATTTAAAAATTCACTTAAACGCCATGCGTCATGTCTGTGACGTTGACAGAAAAAATGACAGCATTTGCCGTTGTAGTCACAAATTTAAAATCACTTGTGGCAATAAGATTTTTTATCAAAATGGGGTCATTAGAACGACTTGAAATACAAGCAATAATAAAAGTTTGCCAAGAGGAAGCTAAACACCATCTAAAACGTACAAAAGGATATTGGATATCAAGGGAAAAGCCTCAGTAAGTCACACACTTGTTTTCGACTGGCATAAAAGATTCAGAGATGGTAAGACTGAGATATCGGACAAGGAAGAAAGAGGGAAAAAAAGAAAATTACAGGGTCATTGGTGACATAAATCGCCATGACATTAGAAAAAGACAGGCAATTGACTGTGCAGGCTTTATCAGCAATGTTTGGCATCAGCTATGGGACAGTGCAGTCAATTTAAACTAAGGATTTGAAAATGAGAAAGGTTAGTACAATAGTAGATTATATTTTTAGACTGAAATTGTTAAAAACAAAATTTAATTTTCATTGCTATCAATGTTCTTATGTTAGCATTTTGTTAACAGTTTACCAGCTACATTCAAGTTCAATATCGGGATTGCGTGATATCTGTTTGAATTATATAATAATTTCGCCTTAGGTGCATGTTAATATTCTTTTATTTTCCCTTATGTATTATACATTTTTATTCATTATCATTCAGCAAAACTAAATTATGAAACATATCATAATTTATTGCAGGTACACGCACGCTGTGTCCCTTACGACCATGAAAAAGCTCGCCGAGTGCAAGATTCTGGGGAATTTCTGCGCCAGGTTAATGGAGAGGGTGATGACTTGCTAGGCTACATCATAACAACAGACGAAACCTGGCTGTGGTTTTATGATTAAGAAACCAAGTCACAGTCAGCAGTTAGGAAGAGGAGCACTTCACCACCACCAAAGAAGGCATGTGTGTCGAAAAGCGGGGGCAAATAAAATGTTTATCATGTTTGCAGATATACACAGAATGATCCTTCAATATGCGGTCCCGAAGAATACCCACTGTTAACGCCAAATATGCTTGCAAGGTTTGTTAATTTAATGAATTAAAATTATATAACATTACATTTATGATAAATTCGGGGTATTTTATCATGTCTTAAAATTTAATTTAAAATAACATGTCTAACAAAATGCGTAAATCTTCCTTACATAATTTTATATTCAGAAGAAAAGTAAATTAATTAATAGAATATTTAAAACACATAAAATACATATAAATTAAAATCTCACAAATCATGGCTGATGTAAAATGCATTTTACTTAATGAATAAAAAATGAATCTATCATTCTGCAGGTGCTCAGACGTGATCTCATACATGCTCTTGAGAAGAAGCGACCCGGTGTGCCACTCGAACATTTCATCCAACATATGGATAACGCATCCTCCCATACAGACGCAGCTACATACCTAGAAGTAGCCATGTTAAGTTTCGGTAGAGATGCCCACCCACCTTACTCGCCAGATCTCGCTCCTTTCGACTTCGCAATTTTTCCAGTAATTAATTCACAGTTGTAAGGACAGAACCTCCCCTCTTGTCACAAGCTCTTTTACCGCCACCCAGACTATAACTAGGCAGTATGCCTCAAACTGGTACAAAGATATTTATAAACAATGGATGCATCAGCATCAACAATGTGTGGAACACGCGGAATGTACTTTGAGAAGGAGTAAGAAGTTCCGTAAAAGACACTACACTTATGATGTCGTTAATGTCAAACTTTAGTGATGTCCGGTATGCCGGATCACTCTTCATGTACTTAAAACTTAAAATTCACAACACTTCTCATATTTAAACATAATCACTTAATGTATCTCTTAAAATTAATGATTAAATGAAAATTATTTTATGACAGGCTAACTATGTCACACTGGCATTATATTAAAGTTATTTGTCCACATTGCAGCTTTCCTAAAAAGATGCCTGCATACAATATTTTAGTATTCGGGTTGGTAGTCATCTGATACAATAAACTGCAAATTTACCACTCGACAGTCAAAACTATAAGTTAAACTTTCTTATGTTTTGACTGTAACAGTCAATGTTTTTCAACAACCTTCCTCATTAACAAATGAAAAATGGGCAAAAATAAACATTAAATAATTATTAAGAATAAAATATACTGGGAGAATAAAAATAAAGCAATTTTGTCATTCTCTACATTTTTTAATGGATTTTACTTTAAACATTTTTTGTTGATACATGAAGACGTTATAATAACAGATAAACTTGAAAGATTCTATTGTGTCATTTTTAATTATGTGGTTAAGTATTGATTATATTTGTAAAGAAAAGTATGTTACAATTGTTAAGTTTATTTTATAAAACATTGCTCTGTTTGTAGCAACTGTCAGTAGAGATATGGCAGGGAATGAGGTAACAACACCTGGGATCACTGGGTCTGAAAAGTTAATAAACTGTTCTCCATGCTCTGAAGCAGAGAGGACAACAGTGGCCATCATATATTGTGTGGACTGTAAAACATATGTTTGTCAGGACTGTTTAAATGACCACAACAAGTTTGCAGCATTACGTAAACATCAAATTGTGGAGATCACTGAAGCTAATGAGCTTCTAGGTGACACAGATCAAGTCAAGGGAAAAAAATCGGTGGAATGTGGAAGTCATTATGGACAATTCATTGACAGATATTGCAGAAGCCATGACGAAGTGTGCTGCAGAATTTGTGTGACAATCAAACACAGGTTTGTCCATTTCTTTGTTTGACTAAGATATAAATAATGGTATCAGACAACTTGAAAAACTTGAGCTTGTCACATTTGTGCCGAATACC